GTGGGGTGGGGTGGCCCTGCCTGTCAGGGCCAAGCTGAGCTCCCAGGGATCAAGCAGCAGACCGAAATTCTCGATAAATCACCCCTAGGCACAGCCCAGTTTCGGGAATCGAACATACGTTTTCTGCGTGGAACAGCGAACTGTGTTGTCATCAACAGATGCAGTAGCATTCAACATGCATGCTCTCTTCTCTCTCTCTCTCTCTCTCTCTCTCTCTCTCTCTCTCTCTCTCTCTCTCTCTCTCTGTGTGTGTTTCTCTGTCTATCTCTCTCTCTGTCTTTCTGTCCATCTCTCTCTCTGTCTCTCAGACCATCTATCTCTTTCAACGTCTCTCTCTCTCTCTCTCTGACTTTCTCTCTGTCTCTCTGTTTCTCTTACCGTCTCTCTCCCACTTATTCTATCTCTCTCTTTTCCTCTTTCTGACTCACTCTTTCTCTGTCTCCCTGTCTATTCCTCTATCTCTCTCTCTCTCTCTCTCTCTCTCTCTCTCTCTCTCTCTCTCTCTCTCTCTCTTACTCTGTCAAATGAAGAGCAACACACTCCCCTCCGAGACGAGCTGTAGATGCTAGAGACGATGGTATAGGCAAACTGCGACCCTCCCCCCCTCCCCTAACCTATAAAAAGTTGCAAATGTCTTTTGCATGACGTCATGATGACCTAAATGTGGTTCTACAGAGAGCTGAGATCCTGGAGGTGCACACTTTTGGTCCAGAAAGTTCCAAGTTTTAGTGTGTGTGGGGGGGGGGGGCGTTTTTATTTCCCTAGAGGTTCATATCTAAACTATCACAAAAACTGCCTTAGTCAAAAGATCGGCGGAGAGTATAATATTTCCTATGACGTTTATATCTATACCCTCATAAAAACTACCTTAGCTAACAGACCGCACGTTACAATGTAATTCAGTGCTGTATTTGAATAATTTTTTTTTAACCGCGAGAAAGAATGGCCCCAGAAGTGCCCATAACAATGTGTGTGTCGTTGTATGTAAAATGTCGTTTTGCTAAGTGACGTTCTCATAACTGATCAACCCCGAGAGATGTAAAACTATTGTGGGTCAGATAGTAAGTCTCTTGTTTTGGTAAGTGTTTTACGGCGCTCACAATCCCATAAGGTCATAGGAGAATATGAACTATTTTCTAACACAAAGGCAGAAGCCAAAGTGTCAACAACAACAAAAACAACAACAACAAAAACAACAACAACAAAAACAACAACAACAACAACAACAACAACAACAACAACAACAGCAGCAACAACAGCAACAGCCGCAACAACAACAACAATAACAACAACAACAACAACAACAACAAAAACTAAAACAACAACTAAAACTACTACAACATCATCACCATTAACAACTACAACAATAATAACAACATCATCATCCTTATCAACAACAACAAAAACAACCTCATCAAAAACAACAAAAAACAACAACAACAACAACTAAAACAACAACAACAACAACATCACCATTAACAACATCATCATCCTTATCAATAACAACAACAACAACAACAACAACAACAACAACAACCACACCACAACACCACCACCACCACCAACAACAACAACAACGACCACCACCACCACCAACAACAACTTGACCCCACCACACTCCTCCACATCCAGCCCGTCCAGCCATACTTTGAGACGTCAGTGGGCCGCGGCGGGGAGCGGGCAGGGCCCTGCAAGGAGGGCTACATCTACATACCTGTGGCCTTCGTCATCATGCTCTACCTGGTCTACCTGGTAGAGTGCTGGCACTCCTGCACCAGGCTCGAGCTCAGGTACAAGGTAAGACAACCGCTTCTGGCTAAGAAAGATACACGATGGACATGTATTTCAGAACACACTGTTGAAACTGTTCAATACGACTGTCCATTGTCGATGAGAAAAGAAATCGTCTTAAACTGGTGGCGCTTGCAACTGCATAAGGTCATATGAGCGCCAAGGGGTGGGTGTCAACAGAGAAGTCTTTACAGGGAATCAGACTTAGACTGCTTACCTCTCTAGCTTCAACAGCACAAGGTCTGCTTTGACTATCAAGGCACGCCAAAATAGCAGATCACAAGAGAGTAACAAACATACAAAAGAAGTAGAGGAAAATGACAATAGTAAGGATCAGGAAAGAAAAAGCAGCAGTTCCCTGTTGTAGATCAGGCAGTTATTAGCGTGACATGATGAATCAGCCCATTTACAATTCTACTATGTTTGAACGAGAAATGTCCCCCCTTTGGGGATGTGGCCCTCTTTGATAGTGTCATAGAAATATAGAAATATAGAAAGATAGAAATATAGAAAGATAGAAAGATAGAAATATAGAAAGATAGAAAGATAGAAAGATAGAAAGATAGAAAGATAGAAATATAGGAATATAGAAATATAGAAATATAGAAAAGAAGAA